TGCGATTAGCACCGAGTCCACCACAGCGACGCGCGAGCCCGGCGGATATCGGTTCGCCACCAGTACGCCGCCGCCAGAGCGCGACTCAAGCCCGCTGATCAACACATCGGCGCGCTCGCCAGCAGACGGGTCGGACAGCCACCCAACAACGTACAGGCTCGCTCCGCCCACAAACGTGCAGTTCGCCAGCGTCACGTTGCGCACGCTCCCTGACATCAACTCCACGTCCACCACGACTTCCGCCGCAAAGGTCACACCAACGTAGCACACCACCGACGTCCCGAAGCCGGCGTTCACCTCCACATCCACACTCCCGTCCCGCACGCACAAGTCGGCGCCGTCGGTGCTCGATGACTCGGGAACAGCAACGGGCAGGCACGCATCGCCGTGACCGCCCTCAGCGCACGTGCAGGCGCAGCCATCACTCGAGGCCGTCGTCGTGTACGCGGGGAAGCACGACGCCAAGAGGGTGCATGGGTCCCCGCAGGTCAAAATGGTGGCATTGTACGCAGACGGGATGCCGTACCCCGCCCCCTCCCCGCCGTTCACACTGTTGCACGCGGCCACAATCGCTCCGTTCGTGAGATCGCGGGACCCTGTGGATATCCGCAGAACTGTCGGCGTTCCCCTGTTGGACATGAATCGGTTGCCGGACACAGACACCACGGAGTCGCGGAGATTCACCGTGGGGTTTAAAACAGTAAAGGCATCTGATGGAGATACACGGCAGAGGTTGCCACTCAACTGCAGCCAGGAGTTGTGGTAGATGTGCAAGGAGCAGCTTGAATAAAACACAACCAAGCTTCCCTGCATGTCGTTGCCGTGAAACACAACCGCTGACCAGAACTCCACACGTGAGGCCCGGAAAAATAACATGAAGTACTTCACCGGCCTCGTCACAACGTTGCCTCGGATCACCACTGCAGAGTTGTTCAGTACACTCAGCGAAGTGGATTCGCTAGACCCTTCAAGATGTATCAGCGTACCGTTAACGACAGCCATACGAAAAGTGTTGCCCATCACCGCAAACACGGAGTGCCAAGACACCCTCAGCGAAGATCCGACAACGTAAATGGCGCTTGACGATGCCGTCACACTCTGAAACAAATTTCCACTGAGCACCACCGCGGAGTCATTGCTGATCGCCAGTCCATTCATCAAAACACACGACTTCCTCATAACGTTCAATCCCGGCCGAGAGACCAGCCTTGTGACAGTGAAGCGGTTGCCGCTGATCGTGATGTTCGTGTGCGGCGGAAACCCACCCTCCGGGCTGAGCAGCGCGTCACGGAACGCGTTGCCGGTGACGACGATGTTCAGCGACCCCACAGCGGCGTACGCGTTGCCCAACAGCAACAGCACGGCACCGTCCCTCCACGTGCATCCATCGAACGTGACATTCGCCACGTCGCCCGTCATCGCCCCAATCAGCACTGTCAGGCTCATGCCGCCCCCGCTGAACGTCACGTTGCGGTAGCACAGCCACGACAGCCCGTCGCCCACAGCCTGCGCAACCTCGGGGTATACCATGTCGCTGATGCACCCACCAACCGGCGGCGGTGGCGGCGTGGGTGGTGGCGGCGGCGGCGGTGGCGGTGATGGCGGACCAGCAGGCACAGGCGCCGGGACGCACACATCGCCGTGCCCTCCAGCAGCGCACCAGCACCTGCAGTCAATGACCGCCGTCGTCAGCGGAGCAAAGCAATCGCCCTCCTTCGTGCACTCCCCGCACGCGGTGACCGTCGTCACGTTGGTAATGCCTTTCAGCTCCAGTTCAGCCGCCGTCGTCACCACCCGTCCCGCAACCGTCAGGCACCCAGCAACAAACCGGTAGCCGGCGTCAGCCTGCAACAGCAGAGGTCCCGACAACCCCGTCAAGCCCATCCTGCAGCCCGTCAGCGTCACCACGCTGCTGCTGTCGATGGTCACAAAAGCGGAAATCCCATACTTTGAAAATCGCTCCCAATCCCAC